AGAACATAATTTGTAAGGAGGTTTTCGGTCTACTGCTTCCTTCCTGGCGCCAATGCTATTGCGACACATCTGTTTTGGCAATATTCCTGAGTTTAGGGTTGAAAAATCAGTCTTGATAGGGTCAGTTTTTGCCCGTATAGACTGGAATTTGCTTGATAGTTGACAATTGAAAAAATAAGAACCCAGTCTCCAATAATAGCCCAGTCTCTAATAGTAGCGCGGGTAGAGCTGTCACTGAAAAAAATAAGAACCCCGGGCTCTTATTAGAGAAAATACGGTAGTTGCGTCTCGGGAGGCAGGCATTGATCCAGGTCAGACACATACAAGAGGAAAGGTGTCGGGCCAAGGATACTGCCTTGGGGCACACCCGCTGTTATGGGCGCCGGGGTTGATGAATCAACGTGGACCAGGACTGATAGTTCGCGGTTCAGGAGGTAATCCTGCAGCCAGTGCAGCAGGCAGCCGCCAATATCAACGTTCTTGGCTTTTAAAATCAGTCCAGAGTGTGATACCCGATCAAAGGCACCTGCTATGTCCACCGCCACCATGTGAGCGTACCCTCCATCGCTGACAGTCTTGAACCACTCAGTGTGCAAAGCAGTGAGGATGACGCACGTGCCTCTTCCTTGCCGAAAGCCATATTGACTGTCGGGCAGAATGTTGAAATGCTCCAGATAATTCACGAGCTGCTTGTTTACTATACTCTCCATTACTTTTTACAGGATGGATAGTAGTGAGATTGATCGGTAGTTTTTGGGATCCGAGCGGGGGCTCTTCTTGAAGACTGGAACCACATGGGCCAGCTTCCATTTGGCAGGCTGAATACCGTGGGGAAAGCAGAGTGAGAACAGTTTGGTGACTGGTTCTGCAAGCTCACTGGAACACTGAGCTAGGAATCTTGCTGGAATATTGTCAAGTCCGTTGCCTTCGATGTATTCAGCTTGGCTAGAAGGCGGCATACATCAGCAAGCCGGAAATGGATGCGGACAAGACCATGAGGGTCCAAATGCTGCATTTCTGGCAGATCGTCTGGAGAGATGTCAGCATCTCCAAGGCTACACTTCTGGGAGTAGTACCTGGCGAGGCAATCGGCCTTGGTTCGGCGAGTTGGATACTCAGTGCCGTCGGTGTCCTTCAGAAGAGGTATCTCAGAAGCACGTTCCATACCAGCAGCTCTCTTCATGTTAGACCACCATTGCTTGTCGTTAAGTGAGCCTGAGCTGAGCTTAGCTTTGACACGAACATCATGTGATGATTGGGCACGCAGCAAATTAGCAGCTGTTCGGGCCACTAAGTCGATGAATGAAGCTCGCAAATCTTCATCATCGGGGTGCTGACACCACAGTTTCCATGCACGAGTCTTTGCTTGTACTACAGTGCTGCACTCAGGTGTCCACCAACAAGGGTCTGTCGTTCGTACGGTCAGGGTCTTAGATGGTATAAACGTGTCCATTCCATCCAGAAGTACAGTTGTGAGTTGTTCACATGCACGTTCGGGGTCATCGCAGATGACAGCAGCCCAGTCAAAGCTGCGGAAATGTGCCCTCAGTCTGCCCCAGTCTACTTGGCCATAACGCGATACTTTCCTGCTTGTTGGCCGCTCCAGTACAGGAGTGATTTCCTGAAAGTTTGACAATACTACACAGTGGTCAGAACGACGATGGGAGATGATACTGCTGTGTGGACAGTGCCAGGAAAGTTGGACAAGACGAGATCCAATGTGTTTTGCCCACGGGTTGGCTGGGTCACGTGCTGGACAAGACAGTGTGTTGCACTGATTTCTTCCCTTAACTCCCCTGCGATTGTCGTTCGAGAGCTGCCAAGCCAGGACGTGCTGTGAACATTAAAATCTGCAGCCAGAATCATGTGCTTACCATGCTGACGCATGATATCTATGTTGTGCTCTAAGTGCTCGAGTAGAGCCAGATCATTGTCAGTCCAGGAACCAGGGCGATAGGCTGCACCTATGACAGTTTTGCTGTTGTACTGGCCAATGGTGAGCCACGCTGTTTTGAATTCAGCAGACTGGTACTGATCCAGATGCTGGTACGCGATGCCGGCTTTGATCTAGGCTCCAATGCCACCTCCGTGATCTGTTCGGTCTCGGCGAATCGGGACACAGTATCCCGGGATCATAGATGCACTGTGAGAGCATTTATCCACTGTTAGTTTCGTCTCAGTCACTATGGCAACATCCGCACCTGAGAGCAACAGGGTATGCTAAAACTCTCCGAACTTGGACAGCAGCCCGCCTGCATTGGTTAGGAGGAGCTTCATGATTGCTGGCTGTCTGCATTCAGTTGTTGTTGCTCGGCAGACTCTTGCTGCTGGTGGTCTTCGGCCAGTTTCTTGAGTAGTGGGCTGCCGGAGTCAGGTGAATCCCCATGCCGTCGCTTGCGGTCGGGGGGCAATGGTGTCAGGTCGGAGCTGTGAGTGGCTGAGTCCTTGCCTGACTTATTAGACAGCACAGACTATCCATTTCCCTTTCCTGGCACTGGCCCACGGGTTTTTTCATAGAATGTCCACTCCCTCGCATATAGTGGTCTAGGCCAAAAGTTTACAGAGTTGACTGTGGGGAGGGCATCAGCAACAACAGGTACTCTTCCTGTCATCATTCCCTTCTTGTTCTCACGGACACTGCAATCATGAACTGCAACTGACTGGTGTACTGCGGTGGAGCGTGTTGTGATGAACTCGCTTAACCGTTGGTCATTGCACTGGGCACTGAGAGTAGACTCGTGCCAATCTGGCCTGCAGACGCTCAAGGACGGTCGCTTGGGATGGGGACAGTTGGAACTGCCACAGTAACGAGGCGTATTCAATGGTGGGTCAAACATAACCAGTATAAAGCCGGTTTGTAACTTCCGGCGTTAGGCGGCTCGACATGTGGGCAAGTAGTACCACGCGTTGGCGACATTTGGTGGTGATGGTTTCGATGTGGCACTGGAAAATGAGGTGACTATCAATTCGCACGCCAAGATGTCGGAGCGTGTAGACCGTGCGCACGTCTTCCTGGTTCATTCGCAGGTGACTGATATTTGGACGGTCCGGTCCGCTGGTACGCCATTTGGAAGGACTTCGTGGGGTTAAAGCGTCCACCTACCGAGTCGGCCCATTTCAGGGCGGCATCCGTGGCAACTTGGAGTTGGTAACCACGGTGCTGGGAAGAAGGAGTGGTAGGTGCAGCGACTTCCGTTCCAATGGTCGTGTCATCGGCAAAGAGAACAACTTGACAGTGATTCTCATCTGCGATTGTCTGCGGGAGAGAGTTGATGTACAGAAGGTAGGTAGGTAGGTACATTTTTATATGAATTCGCGGAACCAAACGGGCGGTGTCGCCCAATTACATGGAAGCGAATGGAAACAATAAGATATTGTAGGAAATAGTCTAACATGATAGCAGGGTGTAGTACAAAGCAATGAACGCTCAGTCAATGAATAACGTTAACGTTAGAATACAACACTGGGGAGGCGGTAAACAGCACACGACTGGTACCGTGGAGTACCGCAACGTTCAAAGGTTCCTGTAGTGTTCAGTAGTGGGTGCTACTGCTAGCAAGACAGAACGAGAGGCAGGCTTGTTTGAACTGGTGGTACTGGGTAATACCACGCGCATCGGATGGCAGGGTGTTCCATAAAATGGACCCGCGAGCGGTTGGACGGTCGTGGCCGGCTTTGGAGGCAGATTTGGGCACTCGAAGGACCAAACTCCGTTGCAGGAAAGGCTTCTTCAGGAAGGTGTGCCCAGTACTCGCAACGGCCGCCTCAGCGTATACAAAGGCTTCATACGCCCAACCATGGGATATGCTCCCCTAGTCTGGCAAGGCGCAACCCGGTCCAAACTCGCGAAGCTTGACCACATCCAGCAACGGTGCATGTGCAACGTTGGCGCTGGTACCATGCTCCCAAGTTTATCAGTGCGTCGACAAGTCTCGGGACTTTGCTACCTGTTCAAGCTGCACTACATTTCCGGTCCGGGCCAGCTGACAGACATGCTGCGGCCACCTGCTGCCCCTGAGCCTGCACGCCCCAGAACCCGCCACCAACATCAAGCGAAACACTCCCATGCCTTCTAGTTGTTTTTATACTATGGGCCTCAAAGGGTTAAACTTGACGTAACATCCTGTAGGCAGTATGTATGTATGTATGTATAACTCATAATCACAAGGTGATCGTAGAGGCATTAATCAGCGAGAGAATTGTGAATGATGTCTCTGAATCCAACTCTATCGTGTGCTGCATGAGAGAGAGCATGCAAGGGAAGACCCGTCCAACTTTTAATGTTAGAAATCCATGATGTCGCGGGCCTTCCTCTCGGTCGAGATCCAGGAGTTGATCCTTGCAGGAAGGGCTTGGAGAAAACGTCATGTCTTGTAACATGGCCAAACCACATCAACTTAAATTTCTTGACTTCGTTCGCTAGCCGCATCCTTGCTCCGATGATGTCATTGATTTCCTCCAGGATAGATTGGTTGGTACGCCGGTCGTGGTATGTTACTCCTAAGAGTCGGCGGAAGCATTTCATCTCGAAGGATGAAATTCTTCTCATTGATGAGGCAGATAATGTCCAAGATTGGCATCCGTGTAAAACAGTCGCTAGCACAATAGACCTAACAAAACGAAATTTCCTGTAGGCAGTAGCGATGCGCAAACACTGAAACAGAGGATTGAAGAAATGGCATTATGTGCGTCACAGATTGCTCCTGATGTGTTGACAACTCACAAGCAGCTGTGGCCCGTAGATCTACGATGTACTGCAGACTGCATGCAGTCCACCACTTGCACCACTGTCTACGCAGGTTACTGTCTGCAGTACAGTATTGGCTCTGTTGAATGCGTGACTACACCACTGAGACTGAGAGGGGCGAACAACACACAACTCTCAAACAGTGGACTGCAAGTTCTGCTTTAGCTGTTTGTACTGTCATGTAGCCCACGTTCAGACACACCAAAAATAAATGTTCCACTTCGTGTGGATTGTTTGGCAGGACTAGTGAGCATTTCCTGATCCTGAACGATAGAGAGTACAGTATATACAGAGTAGTCTAGAGGAGAAGGCCTGACACTGACAGGGCCAAGACCAACAACAGTTACTAGTGAGACAGCTATTTGGTCACCCTTTGAGTAAAATCTGATCCGGCAAAATCTTTTTCTTTTCCAAACCACGTAGCTGGTTGTCGCCTACAGTAGGGGCTATGTAGTGCAAGAGTCAGTGTGTATCGTATCAGGTAGTTTTGGATCCGTCCACCAAATCGAACACGTTCTAGTCGATTGACTCATAGGCAGCCTTGCTGAGAGCTAGAACTAGAGCCACTTCAGGCTACGAAGTATTGGTGGTGAAGTGGAAAAGTCAGAATGCTAAGTGTGACTAGTGGCCAGCAACGATGGCGTTTCGACACGTCGGCAATTTTTCTGATTCAGCTGCTGTTGTTCGTGTTATATGCTGGGACGTGTACGGCCACGAATGGTAAGAAAATAACTGGTATTAAAGGGGAAGCCTACAATCAAATTTTCATCAGTTCGGGGTGCTGAGTCGAATGGCCTTGGTCCGAAGAAGCTGAGACGCGCCCATCCTCCTTTATTCCCAATAGAACTCGCCACTTCCACTGAAACTGGGTGACTGCGCCCTACTGGATGGGGATTTGTATGCAAAATGTCACTAAAAGCGGCCATTTCGTTCTTATGAAAGCACGGTGGACCGCGATTGGCCCATATGTTGTAGTCTTTTGCGTGCTGAGTCGACTGGTTTTGGTCCGAAAGGCTACGCACGGTGACTTCATGTGCACCAACTAATGACATGGCGTCCTTACATGCGGTTTACCGCACGGATTTATGAAGTCGGACATATTCCGATTTATTCGCATCAATCGCACAAAATTAGGTATCTTTCTCCTGTAAACCCTGTCAGTTTGAGAAATTAGACAAACACCGAACAAATTTTAGCCGCGACGAGGATCGGGAGGAATCCATAATAATTATTTACATAGCTACTACCATCACGTCGACGGAGTGAAGATCGAAAAATGATAATGGAGTGGAGAGAAGAAGACCTGAACTAGAGTGCTTGAGAGACTATGTAGTGTCACATGAGAATTGCTTCGTTAGGAAAGGCTCTCCTTTTGAATGGAGAAGTCCAACGTCGCTGATTTGCATCGCCGTTTTCAAGCCCTGATCTGCAGTAGGAATGTTTTTGTAAATTATTCGTAGTTGTGGACGTGGATGGATTCAGCGCTCTGTTCTCTCAGCAAGCCTACTCCAACACGAATGACTTCCATGAGCGAAACAACGTGCTCCTCAAGCAAATGCAGCTCGGGGTAATATGGCCAATGCTACGGAAGACCACCTCGTGCCTGCATAAGGCCAAGAATTCATGGCAATAAATCTTTGATGAGAGCCTTCAACTTCAAGGACGCAATATATCTCCTCAGCAGTAACTGCAGCGCTCTTGCTGAAAATATCACTGCAAGTACTAGGCATGATTTGGTGAAGAGCTACTTGTACAGGCGATTGGAGATTTGGTGTTGGCTTCCAGGGCTGGGCATATCTGCTCCATCATGGTAACTGGTGCGTTTGTCAAGGCAGTGCAGTTTCTGCTGCTGTTTCACAAGCCATATGCGCATATGCGCAGCGAGTAAGAATTTGTTGTATGATTGCTGAGGATCACCAGCCTTCATGAACAAACCTATATTGGGACTGGTTGCTGAACAGTGCACACCTAAATCTCTCAGCAAGCTTTCTCAGTGCTCAGCTGGTGACGAACACTATATACCCGCTGCTTTGGGCTTGCAGACCCGTCTCCCAACCGTAGACGGATCGAAAGGCTGTAACGGTCCTGTGACCATCGGCGTACAGTTGACGCTGATGGGGCATCGGATAAAGTGCTGGCGTCAGTAATTCTCTGGTATACCTGGAATCTGCATCTAGAGCTGGTTTTGACTTCCAGCCATCCTTTGTTAGGTATGCTTGTGACTACTGAAGTATCATGCCAGCAAGTCGATCAGCAGAATCACCTTGCATCTTTGATGGTGAGGCCTGCAAAACGTCACCGACCAGTGACGATGCTCGAATAGGGTACCCTACCAGAGCTGGCGCAGTGTATGGTGCAGTCTTTCATGAATCCATAAACTATGCTGTTTGGCTGCTGTAGCTCTGACGCTTGCGTGTGTGCCTTACATTAAGGGCAGCGGGCCGTCTGCTCTAGCCATTTGCCAAAGCATGCACGGCTGAACGTCTACCAGCAAGCTGCAAACACTTCTCTCCCTACCACACTGTGACATAGTGGACATTGTGCGTGTGTTATGGCATTCCTATCTGAACTGTTCTGGATGCAGAGATTTACCCACTAAGCTTTAAAGAAATATGAATAAATACTATACTACTACTACTACTACTACTACTACTACTACTACTACTACTACTACTACTACTACTACTACTACTACTACTACTACTACTACTACTAAGCTTGGTATGTGGGTGTGACGTGCTGCTGCTCATCAGATTCAGTCCATGAGACTCTCTTGTTTTTCGTTTTGTTATTTTGTCTGCCTTTTCGGAATTCGTAAACCAAACGGACTAAACTACTGTAAACCGTGAAATTATTGCCTGATGGTCTAATTTCTGCGAAATTCGCGACCGCGTGGAAATCGCGAAATTTAGACAGCGCGAAAAGGAGATCCATGAAAGGTTTAGCAAGAATGCTACAGGTTTAGCAAGAATGCCATTCTGCAATCGCAAAATAAAACCTCGCAAACCTGTCCGGATTCTGAAAAAAAAAAAAAAAAATTTCACGGTTCGCGTGAGACTCGGCCAAAGGCCCAGTTTTCCGCATCCGCAGGAACGCCACCACCCTCTTGGATCAAGGCGCAGATGCAGCTCCTAAGCGGTGGGAGGTGAGTAGATCAGACCCCCGGATTCTGAAAACGCGAACTAAAAACGCCGCGAAAATTTCACGCTTTTCAGTATCCAGTGATCAGGTACTGGTGCGGTGGGGCGAGGTTTTGTTGGTGATGATGCTGTCAGTGTTGGCGGCGTGCATGTGCTCGTGCTTGCGGGCGATGGCCCGCTTTTTCTCCCATGCCGCAAGTTTGTCTTGCGTTTGTGTTTTGCATTTGGACTTCCTGCCAGGCTTGGAAGGCTTGCATTTCAAACAGTTTGTCCCACTGTGTGGCTCCCAGTCTTTGAGCGGTGTACATCCACCTCTGGAGCTCCAGAGAATTTTGGGCCCCTGGCAGTAGCAGTGCATTCCATGGCCAATTTGCAAGTGTGGCAAAAATGTTCAGGGTGTATTTGGTTTCATCCACATTGAGATGAAACACTGCCAAAATGGATTCAGTATGATCTGCCACACGATACTTCGTCCGTCCACTCCTTGACGCGAATTTCTCCCCTCCAATACGACAACACGACAACAGGATGCTAACAAGAGCCTCCATTTCTGAACAAAGAATGTCCCTAAAATGGCGACGAAAAGCTTCAGTGATGCACGTCAAGCTTAGGAATACACGAAATCGAAAGGCTAGGACATCGAGGTTTTAGGATTTTACGTCGGACCCTAGACGAGAATTGAGGCGAGCAGGAAACTGCGGCGGGCCGAGCTCGGGGATGGCATGCTCAAAACTCCGAAAAGCGCAGCGTCAGGGGTCACCAATTTAGGATTTTACGTCGGGCCCTAGACGACAGCTACTTTGGACAACCGGACAACGAAGAAGTTGTGACCAAAGAGAATGATTATATTTCCTGCGCATCCTTATGTAGAATGACGTAATACTCAGTGAGTCAGGTCGCTACAGTACTCCCCCGCCAGTGGTGAGGTCGGGAGGAGCGAAGCACGATGAACAAGAAAAAAGAAAGAGAAGAGAAAGGAAACGCACGCATGACAGAGGAGTGTTATCGTGTCAGAGGCGGAAAGAAAGGAAATGTACGCGTGACAGAGAAGTAGTATCATGTCAGAGGCGGCTGCATGTTGCAGGCTTGGCGGGATACCAGCATGCAGGAGCGCTGCACTGGGGCGAGGCGTGCCGACTAGCGACTGAGGCGGGGACAGATGGAGGCGAGCGCAGCTCCATGGGGTCCGGTGCCGGGCGTGTGCCTGCGTGCGTGCATGGTGAGTGAGCTGGTACGACGGGTGGAGGTGGCCAATTTCCAGCTTGAGGCCAGGACGAATATGGACGAATACGGACGACTGGACAATGCCGTGGCAGGATAGCGGGGTATCCAGGTGGGCCGGGGAGGGTGGCAGGGGCCACAGCAGCTCCGAGGCGGATTCAGTGATGGTGAGGCTCAAGTTTTACGTCAACAGCCGGCGATTGACGGGATCCCGAGAGTTGAGGCGAGCAGGAAACTGCGGCGGGCCGAGCTCAGGGATGGCATGCTCAAAACTCCGAAGAGCGCAGCGTCAGGGGTCACCAATTTAGGATTTTACGTCGGGCCCCAGACGACGGCTACTTTGGCGAACCGGACAACGAAGAAGTTGTGACCAAAGAGAATGATTTTATTTCCTGCGCATGCCTATGTAGAATGACGTAATACTCAGTGAGTCAGGTCGCTACAAGGTATATTAGAAAATTGCCTGCGAGGCGGAGAAAATTCGCTGACGACGTTGGTGAGCCCTTGAAATCGAGCGACGATCCAAAAATAATTGCACCCACGTCGAGAAAGAAACCACGCGTAGCAAGTGGGCAACCCAAGAAGATCGCTCGAGCGGCGGCACAGTCGAAGGCAAGGCCAGTCCAAGCTCTAAACTCTATCGAATGACCTGGCAAACACCTGTGGTTTCGGTTGACCTTGCCTGTTTGAGATGGAAGTCGAGCGAAATTGCAAACGTACGACTAGGCCAGGTCGCGTAAAAAATGAAAAAGATTAAAATTTGGCCGCCATATTGAATGAACGCGCGTCGCATGCATGGGACAGCCGTGTACGATGCAGCGTTTGACCCTTATTCCCAATCGAACATGGTTTTGGTCTGAGCATTCACATCCTCATGCATACGCCAGTCATCTGATCACTGTACCTGCAGGCTGCAACTTTCGCACCAAGGTTCAACTCAAAGGTTCAAAGGTTCAAGGGCACAACTCAAGTGACAGGAACACGCTATAACAGGCTGTAAGTTAGTTGTACCCTGCAGGCACAGTGCATGTGACCAGGCAACGTTTGCAAAAAAACGAAAAGTAGAACCGTGGCGATCTACAATTACAACTGTATTTGCAGTGTTCAATATTGATGAAGAAGCTAAGTAAGCCCGGTCCTGAATTGTGAAGTCTTGCTCTTTTTATTTCTACGCCGTGCATGTGCATGGGCGCGATGATCAGAGTGCTGTTTCCTGATGTTGAGCTTTCTGCTCCGACGGTTGCTATTCTTCAACTCCGTCGCAATCCACTCTTTTCTTCGTACCCGGGTCAAGTTCTTCATGAATTCAGTCGTGAGTTTGGTGCCTTGTCTTGGCCTCGAACCACAGATCCAAAACGC